CTAATTCTTAGTCTTACATGAGTTCATTGTAACTTATGGCCTATTCATAGATTAACAGTTTTTTCAAATGAAATTCTCATTTCATACTTTTTAGAATAATCGTTAAACACCTTATGGGTATTATCTATTTTAAGTTGGCAACCTTTGTGTACAATTTCATTTATACAGAATTGTTTGTCTTCCCTAATTAATTGAATGCTAAAATTACATTAAACATGAAATGAGACAGTTGGAAATAACATTTACAGTATACGTTAGTGCTTATTCAGAATATGCAAATATCAACAGCACCACGTTGTTGAATATTAAATTAAATCCGCAGTGGCTACATTTTTAACAAAATATTGAATAACTTTTGCAGTGAAAAATATTTCAAACGAAACGAAAAACGAAACGTTGATTCAATGTAAGGCTTTATTATTTTATTATCTTTCAGATTAAATAATAATACATAAGGACAAGATGAATATATTCTAATCCATTTTTATGATTTTGAATCCAATAAGCAATATATATTTATAGTTGGACATGTCTATTCAAAAGCGGTGGAGCTCAAATAGGTTGCTAATTTGTGAAATAATAAAAGATATTCAACTGCAAGAGCCACCCGAGCCACGCGTGACTGGAGTGAATGAATATCACCGACCTCTAATAAAAAATGGCAGCCACATGTATGTTTCGTACGTGGTTCAATTTTAAATATTATGTTGCAATTGTTTGTTGAATTATAAAATAGAATTGTTTCTATTGCATTCCTCCCTCGAAAAAGAAACTTCAATTGTTGTAACATGCATTACATCACATATTATATTTATCGAGGAAATATACACTAAAAATTCTCATTTGATTTAAAGTGATTCATTTCTTGTACAATACTAACTAAACACTTTGGAAATTTGAGTGTCTTTTAATTTTTTTATCGAATTCAAAAGACGCTTTTTTATTTTGTTATATTTTTTTCGCATTATTCCATAGTGCAGTCGTTCAGCTATTTTACCGTAAAGTGGGTAAGGACATAAAACGAGAAATGCTAGTCTAATAAAATTTCCTGTTTGTTATTATCTCGCCTTGGAAACTGTTGCCGTTTCCCTTGACATCTGTTAATACTTTGATAGACATTAGTATGACAGCCTTAAAAGCTTCATCTTATGGTTTAACTTCGGCTACACGCTTGAATAAAGTTATTTTAAAATCTGTGGAGATGAAGGTTAGACGTGTACTTATTTTTAATAATTTTCTGCATCAGTCTTGTATTAATTTAATGTAAAAGAAAAATTAAAGTGAAAAATTTGTATGAACTATTTTTATTGTGTCACTATTTGTTATTTTCCCCAAAGGCGCCGCAAAAAAATTTACATTTAAATAACTTTGACCTATACATGATAAAATTTTCTGCTGAATACGCGAAAAACAATTTTCGTTGATTGCAATTCAATAGCATTCAATGTTATCTTCAGTTTCCAACAATTGTTTTTTTTAAATATCCCTTGTTTATTTGTAAATTATAAATTGTGAATTTGTTATTTTAAGCTATGAAATTTCTTGACCATAAAATATTAAAATTAGGCCATATTATTTACAAGTCAGCTGCCGGAAGGAATTGTGCACGCGTGCCTTTTTCTTGAAAACTAAATGTCTTGTTGGTAGATACCATGAATTTCTGTGACCAAAATTTGGTGCATCTTCAAAGAAAATATTGTTGCCTCGTAGGTATAGCAGTAGTAAAATTCTTAAGTTATTCGTTAAACAACCGTATGTAAATAAGAACATACACAATGACCTTCATCAAGAGATAATAAAAACGTTTTATTTTTTACTGACTGATATAATAACGTTACATTTATCACGTCTTGTCGGATGTAGATTTAACCAATTTTCTTTTGACGGCCCAGAAGACTTATCAAATTAAGACAAGCACCAAGTATGTATTTTGCAAAGTGAGACGAATCTTTGTTTTCAAATTATAAGGTATTTTTAAAACAATAATTTTAACTACACTTCTAGTGTTTTTTTAGTGTAAAAATTATCAATAATTGTATTATAATGCATAATGTCCAAAGATTAGCAATAACTTAAAGCCAATCTGTCTTAAGTTTAATTTTATCATGACGTTAAATTAAAAGAAATCTCTATTTGATAATGTTTGTGGCTTGTGCTATTTGGTTTTGAAAATCTTATTATGAAAATGATCCTAGAATTAAAACAGAAAATTATTATACTTAAAAAAATTTACATAACGCATTTATAAAATACTGTTAAAATAACTGCGACAGTTTTTACAACCTGTACATAAAAGATCTAAGATTTTTGAGAGTTTTATACATAGGTGTACAACTTTGCTTCCGCCGTTTTGCAATTGATGGTTGTAGCGGTAAGTGGTAGTCGAAATAAATAGATCGTTGATGTCATACAATAAGCTTAGGCATTTGTAAACATAACGCCATCGAAATATTAGTCGATTTGTGTCTGCATCATAAAGTTATTCTTGATTAAACATGTCAGCTTACGAGCCAAATTCTCGTCATTTGCGGGAGATTTTAATTTTCTGCTTTAATATGAAGAAATCTGCGGCTGAGGCTCATCGAATGCTCTCAAATACCTATGGTGAGGCTGCTATTAGTGAAAGAACGTGCCGAGAGTGGTTTCAACGCTTCAAGAACGGTGATTTTGACGTCGAAGACCGACATGGCGGTGGAAGAGAGAAGGTTTTCGAAGATGCAGAATTGGTGGCATTACTTGATCAAGACTCGTGTCAAACGCAACAATAATTGGCAGAATCATTGGGAGTGATGTAACAAGCCATTTCAAAATGCCTGATAGTCATGGGAATGATTCAGAAACAAGGAAATTGGGTGCCGTACGAGTTGCAGCCGAGAGATGTTGAACGGCGTTTGTTTGCTTGTGAATAGCTGCTTGCAAGGCAAAGACGGAAAGGATTTCTGCATCGCATTGTGACTGAGGACGAAAAATGGGTTCATTACGATAATCCCAAGCGCAAAAAATTATGGGGATATCACGGCCATGCTTCCACGTCGACGGCCAAACCGAATATTCACGATTCCAAGGTATGCTCTGTATTTGGTGGGACCAGCTCGGCGTAGTGCATTATGAGTTGTTAAAACTGACTGAAACAATCACAGGCGATACTTATCGAACACAATTAATGCGTTTGAGCCGAGCATTGAAAGACAAACGGCCGCAATACAACGAGATACATGATAAAGTGATTTTACAGCACGACAATGCTCAACCCCGTGTTGCGAAAGTGGTCAAGACATACTTGGAAACGTTGAAATGGGAAGTTCTACCCCACCCGCCGTATTCTCCAGACGTTGCTCCCTCGGACTATCACTTGTTTCGATCAATGGCACACGGCCTGGCTGACCAGCACTTCCGGTCTTATGAAGAAGTTAAAAATTGGATCTATTTGTGGATCGCTTCAAAAGATGACCAGTTTTTTCAACGCGGGATTCGTATGCTGCCCGAAAGATGGGAGAAAGTAGTAGCCAGCGATGGACAATACTTTGAATCATAAATGTATAACCAGTTTTTTACAATAAAGCCTCGAATTTCGGAAAAAAACGGCGGATGCAAAGTTGTACACCTAATACATTTAAATGAAACTAATATTTTTCGGATTACACTACGCGTTATATAATAGTTACTGCCTCTTTGCAACGACCATTGAAAAAGTGGATTCAGTTTAGAAAAACCAACGAGCTGAGTTGGTTGGTAATAGAATGGAAATAGTTGGCTTAACCATACTTATTATGGTTTGCCCAACAAAGTTCAACGTAATAATTTCACTTTCGACAATTATTTAAATTTGTAAGAAATAGTAACATATTTTTTTGTTGCGAAATTGATTCTAAGCTCTATTAGTTTTTGTAATAGTTAGAAATATCCTTGTGTTATTAGTTGATCAGTGTATGACTTTTGTGCTGTCGCCATCCAATTTGTGACGCCGTTGAGTTCCTAAGTTTTTTTCTGTTTTCTAGGGCATTTTATCTCTAACACTTTACGTAACAGTAATAAAGGGAACCTTTATAACATTTTGTTAACGATTATTTTTTTTTTATAAGCATATTTAGTTAAGATCATTATTTTTGGACAGAAAGACCGAGAGCCCCTCTTTTGACACTTCTATCGAATAATATTAATAAAATAGTAACCAAAATCATACATTTAAAGATAATTGGGTAGTGTCGAAAATATTTAACCGAGATTGAGAGAATAAAAATCAAGGACAAGTATTTCTTCAATCTTTTTAGAGAAAGTTGTCAAGTTAAATAAGGATTTTCTTTTATTATACAATATTAATATTATCTTTGTAAAGTTACTTTTTCTTTTAATCCTTTTCTAATGCTTTGTTTCTATATACTTCTATAAAACTCGTCGCATGTCTCTGATATCAATCAATAAGTTCTGAAAACCATTCTTAGATGTTCTATTTCTATATTGAGATCATTATTGAGTCTTGTATCTGGAACTTGTATCAGTACCGCAACCCGAGCGCCGAGTGCCAAGTGCCGTAGGGTAGTACTTGTTTTATCTTCATCGGTGTTGTGGCCCTGACATTTCCACGCCCTAAGCTTTTACCTTCGTGTTTTGGCTGGCCCCAATAATCGTGATTACGTTTAGATATTTTGTCACTTTATGCATAGTAATCCAGCGAGATATATATTTAATATATAATATATGTTGATTCATTAATTCCTTTTACTGTAACTATGGATTAAGAAAAAGTTTATTAGGCATAGAAATATCTTTGTGAATTTATTTTTATGATACTATCATAAATACGTATAGCAATAAATAGTATCATAGTACGTTTACGTTTTTTCTGAACAAAATGATAACAATTCTTAACAGGCTTTATTTGTTGTAACAATTTACCTATATGTTGAGTTGTTAAACTGCAGCCTCGACAGTAGACAAAAGGGCATTATACAGAAATGAATTAATGTTTATGCAAGAAATATATCTTTGCAGGGAACATCATGGGTTGTTTCGTCAGCAAAGATAAACTCACCAAAGAGGACATGGATTTCCTCAAAACCCATACATCGTACGATGAGACCACCATAAAAGAATGGTACAAGGGTTTCAAGGTAAGTGTAGATTATTTGTTTAGATAGTCATTCACGCTTAATTCTTATATTGGATTATATTGTTATATTTTGTATTTACAGCAAGATTGTCCCAACGGTAGGCTTACGCCGGCTAAATTTGTCGACATGTACAAAATGTTCTTCCCATCTGGTAATGCGGTTGAATTCTGCGACCACGTTTTCCGTACATTCGATATGGACAAGAATGGATACATAGATTTTAAGGTAACTTTATGAACCTGGTGAATATTTTAGCACTGCGAATGCTGGCGAGTCATGTTTGCTATAGTTCTATGTTATATTTTGCACTGGCGAATTTTTAAATTCTACTGTGTTTTAATCGTTCTCAACAATTGACACTTTTTTGCTTAATGCGATTTGATTATTTGATGAAATATATATTTTCTATATCTTTTAAAACATTATTTTGTGCAAGACAAAACTTCCCTTGTTTTGCGTGCTAGGGAAGAGGTCGTGTATGGATTTTGATGTTTTTGTGTAGGAATTCCTGCAAGCCATCCATGTCACCTCTAGCGGAACCCCGGAGGAAAAACTGAAGTGGGCCTTCCGTATGTACGATGTAGATGGGAACGGGGTGATAGATATTCAAGAGATGACGAAAATAGTCCAAGTGAGTATTCAAATGTCATATTTTATGTACACGTGAAGGTCTTTCAGCTTCTATTGTGATGGAACTACTTCAGCTGTTACCTTCTGAATGCATATATTCTAGTCTGGACACTAAAGCAAGATTTGTACATCATCTAAATATTATTTAATCTTCATGACCTACAAAACTTACCCCCTTAGATTGTACATTTCAAACCTTTCAGTAAAAATAAATTCGGTTCAAAGACAAGTCAAATTGTTGTGTTCAAGTCATTTCGTTATTTACTAAAAGACCCTGTTCTTCAAAAACAGTAAATTCAAAATATTTTAGTGATATATTTCATTGATTTCAAAATTAACGGCCAAATCACAAAGTATTTGTTTATACAGGGTGACTGGTGAATTACTATCAATATTTAAGGTATAATACTCGGTACATGATTCTCATTCGAATTATGTAAAAAAATAGGTACTTAATTTTTGACCATTTTTCCGTATAAATAAATAAAGTGTGGACACGTTCCAAGTGTTCCAAGTGTGGACGCGTGCGGCGGCGTGCTGATACAACACCACGCCGCCGCACGCTTGTGTGTGTGTGTATACCTAATCTGTAGGGTGTTCACACGATGCGTAATTAATTACCAAACTTTTGGTTAACTTTACTTAGAAGTTTATTAATATTTATGTTATATTAATTTTTATTTTGTCATATATGATCGTCAAATATCACGTCCTCAAGTATCGATAGTAATTCACCAGTCACCCTGTATATGTTTTATTAAAAAAAGCTGTTATTTTCAATCTATGAATCCACTAAATGTACAATTTTAGGCCATATACGACATGCTTGGCGCCTGCTCCAGCAACAGGCCCGCAGACTCGGCCGAGGAGCGCGCCAAAAACATCTTCGCTAAGATGGACGAGAACAACGACGGTCAGCTGACCCAGGATGAGTTCCTCAAAGGTTGCCTCCAGGATGAGGAGCTGTCTAAGATGTTGGCGCCCTAAACGCCACACCCCTTCATTCCTTTCCCTTAATACGAAAGTATTGACGATCTTACGGCGACATTTTTAATAAATTATAATTTGTTTGAGTCAAAGATTCTGGCGAACTGAATGCCGCATATGTTTTTTTTATCTTTATATAATTTGAAACCTCATTCCGTTTCAATATCGGCGATCTAACTGCGACATTACCATAACATTTCTTTATTTAATTTTCTTGCAGTTTTTTGATATTAAAGCCACATCCATTTATTTGAATTTCTCTTACGTCGTCGATGTACTTCTCCAAATTACATTCTGTGTATCCAATTCACGGGTTGATGTGAATTTGAATTTCGATATCGATTTGTTGCGATATCTCGAATATATTCTGTACTCAACAACCAATCATTTATACAGGGGCGCTACAATAATATTTTTAGCTCTGACATATTGTTAATATACTTCTGACATATTGTTAATTTACTATTCCAATTCGAAACAGCCTGATATAAAGTGATTTAACCCAACTTTAGTTTCTAAAATCAATCCTCTTTCTATATTAGTTTGTCCGAACTGAATACTACTACCTACGTTATTGCGGACACGCCCATTCAGAATTTATAATTACACAAGTTCATTGTATCCGTATAGTTAGTTATTTTTGTACTTCATTTTCGTGTTTATTTCGATTTTATTTTGTCGATGTCGCTGTTTGGTCGTCCGATGTCGTAATTTTGTCCGTACCATACACTTTATAGGCAAAATATGTTGTAATATCATGACAATTTATATGTAAAACCTATGATTATTTATTGTATGCACAATATAAAAAAAAGTCAATCTTTATTTAAGTCAACAATTTAGTATAGCTATGTTCGAACAGAATAAATCAGATTGATGGAATATTCTGATTCAGCAAACGATGTACATTCCAAGTCAGAAACATCGTCTCGTTCCAATCTGATTGTTTCTGTTTGTTAGGTCGATATACGTGTAAGTTTTATTAAATTTAAATAAGTATTTATCATTCTAATGTCGATATCGGTGTTGTAAATCTTACATATTATATGTAATCGGTGTAAACTCTTCTCGATCACTTAGACTGGGACCCTCCTATCGAGCTCTACTACTCTACTCTTAAACTCAAGTAGTTATAACGCTTCCTTTGTTTCATTTCAAACATTTACCCTTCAAAACCTAGAGCTTAATCAATTTTACATCCTTTATAATGCTGTACTCCTTGTATTTTCTACTTCGTATTTCCCTAATACTGTGCCTTCTAGTTCGCTGTAAAGTAGACAACCACTTCTACTTCTTTCTTTCTAAAAGCTTTTCCTGCATACACATAAATTGTTTTTCATTTTTTTTTCATATTTAATTAAGATTATTGCCAAAGTTATGCACAAATCTCCTTCCATAATGTAGCTAAGAGAACCCATACACAAGTGTTTCCTAGTCCCATATCTTTTAGATTGTATTTTTACTAGACGTTAGAGTAATTAACTATACTATGCTGATTATACAACATAATATATTAAGTTGGCCATGCGGTTCTGGGGGTCGCGGGTAAATGAAAATAAAAATAAAATTACACTTTTAGTTTTCAGTGTATAGTGAATAATAAAAACGAGCATAAATAACATTGTAATTTGAATTTATAAAGTCGCATAACATTTAATAAATATCTGAACCTGTGGGTATAAATAAAATTTTATTAATAAACCAAAACTTAATTAGGTGCTAAAAATCATCTAATTAGATATTTCATAATTTTATAAAAAAACAATAATAAATAAAAAAATATTTAATATATGTTGTATGGGGTGTAGAAATGCGGATGCACTGAAAACTAAACATCAATCCACCCCTTATCGATTAACATTCCATACATTATAATAAGTTAAATCCTAATAGTTGTAATGTACATATCGCAATTCACTTTTTATTAAAATCTAATAAACAAATCACTCAACGGACATTTAATTATTAAATAATCAAGGGTATTAAGGGGGTGATATAAAAGATTATTGATAAATGAAATGTGATTTCAATTTTGTAATCTCGAACAGAACCTAAACAATCTTAAACTAATATACCAGTATCATAACTAAGCAGTGCTTATATATCTTTGACGCGTTGATGAACAGTCATTAAAGATGATTCAGATATTAAAATGGAAACATAAAAGATGGGAGAAACGCGACCCGGGCCTTGAGTCGGTTCAGAATATTATTTTCTATTCTCTTTGGCATCCTCTTTCTAAATTATAATTAGATCACTTTAAAAACATTTATTATAGTGCACTGTTCTCAAATTTAGACAATCGATACTTTTAATGATACATTTGACGAAATAGCTATATTCCTAGTATGTGTATAGTGTTGATGTAATTTCACATTTTTTTAATCCATATATTACTTCATATAATAAACCTACTGTCAATTTAAAACTCTGTGGTCTTCGTATCTCTAGACTAAGTAAATTTATGGCACAATTTTATTTCTGTTTATTTGAACAGTTTTCTTAATTATATTTAATTGTAAAACGTTTGTACTTATGTATATTATGTCATATTATATTACTGCTCTATACTATATCCAATACATTTTAGCGATCTTAGCTGTGTCAACAATTTAATATAAAAGCTTTATAATTAATGTCTAATTTAAATTAATACAAAATTAAATGCACAATATTTACATACATTTTGACATTCCTTTCTATGATGTATTCGACTATACTTACTATATTTGATATTAATAATATTTGGGTAAAATTTTTGTCTTGTTTCATTTATTTATTATGATCTGTTATATAAGTAGCAGGTTGTGTCATAATATAACTGATAATTATTATATATTATAGTTTAGGTGCATTTATATTTTCAAAAAAAAATAGCCACGTCTTACATTATTGCAGTGCTTGTTACGAACACGCTGTAGAATTTGAATGCATTTAATTGCATATAATTATTTAAATCAATGTTACCATATGTGTTGTAGAATTATTTTTAGTTGTAACAAATATATTATCTTACAAGACTCGTTGTCACCTAATAATTAAAATTGGGCCTTGTCCATTTCCTATATTTATCGTGATTACCATGGAATTATATTTTGTTGTATCATTTGTGTATATTTGACCATACAACTTGTCAATGTCAATTCTAAAATGAATTTTTGTCATTTTTACGTGAGTTTTTCACTTTTTTACAACATTTGATATGAATTTATTAGGTGGCAGCTACGATTGTAACAAAAATTTGTAAAAATTGAAAGAGAGAAGCTGGCGGACATCACAGCTCATCTTCTTTCAGTTCAGTCACTTGAGTATTGTTATTATTTAGTTTAGGATATTCGCTTAAACAAATGTCTTGACAAAACTTAACTCGCTCAGTATTCTTATTTCTGATGAATCTCCAAGTCTGAGTAAGGTTTTTTATGTATTTACCGTGCTGAAGCACTAATTTACAATGGTATCGATTTGCGGTGTTTCTAGAAAGTGAAAGTATCTTCGTCATAGTTATAGATAGGCACTTGTAATAGACGACACTCACTATGTCCCATGATCTGTTGTATTTCTAAGAATACATATTTTTAATGATTCACATTTTGCCTATTCATGTATAATATACAAATTACAAAAATAACATAGTTCTTAATTTGTCTCATTATTAGTATTATTTTAAAAATCACCCGCTGATTGTCATTTTTCATTTCTCGAATATTATTGTAGTATATTATTTCTTATCTGACATGATATTTAAAGGACAGTATTAAAAGTTTTCCAATATTTATTTATATCTATATTTTTTGTATATTTTGAAGGCAAAGTAAGTCAATTTGGTCTTTATATATCAACTTGCAGTTGAAATTAATATTTTTGCTGCATTCATACATAATATAGTCGAGTAATAGTTGTCTTGAAATTAATAAATTTATTTATTTTTAGGGCCCAAGAATTGTCTAACTAGAGGATAAAAAAAACTGTGTTAATTGTTTTGACGTCCCCATTAGAAAACTCACAAAAATTATAAAAATGGGTAAACAAAACAGCAAACTGAAACCTGAGGTTCTGGAAGATCTAAAGCAAAACACTGAGTTCTCAGGTGAGATAAAGTTACAACAAAATAGAAATCAATTTGGATAGTAACATAAATAGGAACTTAAGACATTTGAATAATACTTTTATTACTATTAATTGAATTTAAAATAACAGTCCTCTCACAATAAACTTTAAGTTTACTAATTGATATATTAAATCTCATATTAATTCTCATTACAGATGCTGAAATTCAAGAATGGTATAAGGGATTCTTGAAGGATTGTCCCAGCGGTCACCTGTCAGTTGAAGAGTTCAAAAAAATATATGGAAACTTCTTCCCCTATGGAGACGCTAGTAAGGTATATAATAAAACTTATTTTGAATTCCTTCATATTAAACTCCTCAAAACGTTAATATGACATCATTAAAATTTAATTTTCATTTAAAATTGTCGTTAAAAAATGGAAATGTATGTGTGTATTAAATATAAATTTGAATTATTAATTCAAGAAAGGATTTTTTTTATGTATTTCTGAAAAGAAAGATCAGATTCTATTGAATTGAAACTTTTTAAAATTTATAATTTTCTACTGAATTGATACCGGGAATACCAAACCAATCAGTTATTTCAGTAAAATGTACCATAGTACTGTTTGTAATATATAGCAGTTCAGTTTTTACTATAATACTCGGCATAAATATTCTGAACGTTGTAATTATACTAAGATCGTATGAAATTAGTTTGCAGAGCACGTGTTCCGTACATTCGATGCTAATGGTGACGGGACTATAGATTTCCGGGAGTTTTTGTGCGCCCTGAGCGTCACATCTCGTGGTAAACTCGAACAGAAGCTGAAGTGGGCCTTCTCTATGTACGATCTGGACGGGAACGGTTACATCTCGAGACAGGAGATGCTTGAAATTGTGACAGTGAGTTCAGATGACTATTATATACTACTCCACAGTGTGTCCACACTGGGACGACAGTAAAACCTGTTTCTTATAACCCTGGTCTGACTAACCGGAATTAAACACATGAGTTTTTAACTCGGAAACATGTTCCTACGCAAGATTAATGTTATTTGTGCTTGTTCCATTTCTGGACAAACATGGCTTATCTTTTATTGAACTTTGTCTCCGTTAGAGGACAAAAATGTAAATAGTTTTAATTACTAATTTCATGATGCTTTACATGGCTCATGTAATTATAGTAAAATAATAATAATTATTGCATTATATATCTGAGAACAATATGTTTATATATACTGTGATAATTTCCAGGCTATTTACAAAATGGTTGGATCGGTTATGAAAATGCCCGAAGACGAGTCCACTCCGGAAAAGAGAACAGACAAGATATTCCGACAGATGGATAGAAACAAAGATGGGAAGTTATCGCTTGAGGAGTTCATAGAGGGCGCTAAAAGCGACCCTTCGATTGTACGGCTACTGCAATGCGATCCACAATCCCAGTGATATCTCCGTTACTAACAGCCAAAAACGTTTAATATCTCCTATAAGCTTGTACAAGCTAGTGCTGTTACCGTTAGCACACATCCGGGCTTGGCTGTTTTCTTTTTATTGCGTTCTATACGGCCTTCCCTATTCATATCCTAGTTTATTAATGTAATTGTAATTTTGTGATTTGGAATTAGCGCAAAAGCATAGGTCCGAAAATTAAGCTTGGTAAACATTTTACGTTTCAATATAATATAGTGTTGTATTTTAATAATGACTTGGATATCAACCCACCCGAATAGTTGTGTAATTTAGAAATCGCTTACTTCATGGGGCTTTGAAGCTTTTGCGTTATCTCTAAATCGCTATCGTATTATTGTAACACATTAGTGTTTAAAAAATATATATATTAATTATAACCTTGTACCCAAACACCAAGACAACAATAATTACTATTATAAAGTATGCAATAACCAAAAATATTACGAGATAATATGTATGAAGTGAATAATAACAACAGAAACTCACAAGATGACATCACAGCCGTAGTAGGTGAACATTATTATTGGCATTAAAATAAGAAAATCTTACGAAATGGCTGTAAGTAAAAAAAATAATAATTAAAAATGTCTCGTATAGCTAAAATATAGCTGACTTGTCTTCAATATCATGTGACAAATGTTCGCAATGATTTTTGTGTCTTCAAAACAATTCTAAATTTTATTATGTATATTATAATGTTTAATGTTAGGTACCATATAACCTTAAGGTATATCGATTATACACTACAAATTACTCGTTTACAATGATCTGTTATAATATGTAATGTGTATGCATGAATGTATGTAATGTTTTAATTTTAGAGTCATCGCTTATTTTGTCATGTACCACGTGTGTCGTATTGAGTTTCATAACATCACAATTGTCGAAGTTCGATGCCTTCCATTTTTATTAGAAGTATTTATAAGACACTGAAAATTTGTTGCAAACAAAGGGGACTCTCTAAAGGGGACCATAAGAATGTTTTAATTCGATTGAGTTTATTAGACGAACACGGTGAAGTCCGCTATGAAAGTTATTTCAATAAAAAAAATATCTTAGACGAAAAATACAAATACAATTTTGTAGTCGAATCGGGATATGAAAAACCTCCGTTATGGATTTCGTAATGACGACCAAAGTATATATTTTGCAAACGAACGTTATAAACAATATGTTTTAATTATTTCAAATGACATCTTTACGAAGGCAGCAACAGTAATAACTTATCACAATGTATGCCATTGTAATGTAATATCTATTATTTCATCACGTATTATAATTAAGTTAAATATTTTTTTTATATAAATTTATTAAGTCAGCTTTAGTATAGCTATCGAATTATGTTATATGTGTATTATTTTTGAACATTATTTATGGTATTATAAAATTAACAACATTTTATGAAACGAAATAATAATGTAACCTCCGTTTATTGGTTTCAATTACTTTAAATGTTTACATTATATAGACTTAAGATAACATAGTTTTACTTTATAATGAAAGTTCTGCGTTAATGATAAACGGATGCTATGTTATACTTTTCGTCGATCGTGTGTCTGTTGTATTGCTTAACATTAGTTAGATGACACGTTAAAAGACGTTACATAAAGAGTTTGCACCGGTTTTTATATTATTAACATAGTATCCATTATAAGGTTTTATTGACATTTTATTATACACAGTACATTTTAGTACATATACATTAAAAAATCCGTATAAATCATATTCTAAAATGAAACGCTAGATAATTAGATAATTCCATGACAATATTACGAATACTAGTTTTAATCGCTAGTTTTGAACATCGGATCTGATTATACAAGATGACCTGCTTTCATACAGTTTCAAATTTATGATAATCGACTAAAAGATAAAGATACTTTCTTGTGCACAGATCATATTTTTATCTATCCATCTATTTCAACTGCGTGATTGTTTGTTTTTAAACTTAGTTAACCAATTCATATTGAGACTTATCGCTCTTTATTTATAAATCAATATTTGTCACATTTCTTTTTCGTGCCTGACATTCGTATCTATCGTCGGGGCAAACGTAGATTATTCTCCTTTTTAAAACTTCAAATGATAATAACAAACACTTATTCTGTTTTTATAGAATGAGAAGTCATTTATTTAAGTCATACAATTTAATTTACCATTTGAATCGTCAGTATTATTATTTTTTGCTCATTTAGGAGCCGCTTTAATATAATATTTTCATTTGACATTTATCTATATCTCTCGAACATTTCTTTTGCGCGGTTTTCTGTATATTTTGTCATTTAATATGTGATCATTAATTGTTATGAATTATGAATGGCACAATATCCCCGCACAACAATCTTATAATATTCTTTAATAATATATCACTTTATTATAAGCTTCAACTTTCAATGTCTCTGATCGTCAGTGGTTATATTCAAATTGCTATAATACTATTCGCAATTTATCTTTTTATCGTATATAACTGTTAATTCGATATAAAGTCCATGATATATAAGCATTATATTTAATGGAATCTATGAAATATTTATTGGTGTTTTAAATTAAAGCTTGTATATAAGGTCGAATTGATGTACCTACTACATAAATTGTAATTTTTATGTGGGCGATGTGTGTGGACGATATTTAATTTGTTTTCTGTATTATTTATTATCTTCTGTAATCGAGTATTAAAGTAACCTTGCTTTATTTCATATTATACAAATATTGCTTTTAAATGCCGCATTACACATACCTACGCTTTAAACTTTGCTTGAGACAAATGTCATTTAATATATTATATTTTAGAAAGATCTATAAAGAACGTGTTTCGGATCCATGTTTTTGTTTACAAACTTGTAATTATTTAATATATCATATGTATGATCCTGTACATAATGTAACTTTCGTCGTTGTGAGGACCTAATTTGACTTATTATCTTAAAAATCATACTACTATAAAACCCCCAAAAAGAATTTTCAACACAATACCAATAAATGAGATTCATCATAATATACAATTAACGATGATTGTTAAGTTGCAGTGTGAGAAAAAGATGTCTCATTTGTACGTGAGCGTTTTGATTTTAGCTCGAATTTTATGCGTATTATGGTCTTCCACATAAAGCTATACTATTAAGCAACCAAACGAGATTTTACTTTTTAACTGATCTAACCTAAACAAATAAATGTATATATAGGATACATCACAACTAATGCACTTATTTTAGTTAACGTTATATCGTTACAAACAAAGAATTGTCTATGGAGTCCAGCGAGCAATGTATAGTATTTCAAGTTGACATAATATATATCCTTATAAATAAAAATTATGAACGATATATAATTATTAATTTTCAAAGATATAATTAACAATCTCACAAACATACAGAAATGGAAACAAGAAGCCTATTTGATTTTATACATCTATAAGAAATTTGATTGCCATATTGTAACTATATTTAATTTGATATAATACCGTCTACCTTTTAAAGCAATAAGAGTTTTAGCCTTATGAAAACTTGAAGGACATTCGAAGTAGTCCATTGCCTAATAAGCAAAGATAAAATAGATATATAGATAAGTTCATTTATATATTTATTTTATCATTGCCAGTAACATATAATAGTTGTAACTGTCTTTATTGCAATGCCTATTCAGTATCTTTGCTGCTGTTCGATATTAATTTAAATGTGGTTTGTAGTTTCAGAGTTTATTATGTATCATTCGTCTGCATCTTCACAAACAAGATGTAAAAGAAACCGGACAGAAATGCGATCCGACATATAACGAGAAAAAATAAACATAAAGACGTTAAGAGTTGTGAAAATATAGTATTCGATATATTTTATATAGAAGGTTTTTAGAATGACGATGATAAATTTCATTTATCGGTTGGTATTTGTAGATTGTGATTATGTTAGGAGGTTGTTTTAGGAGAGTTGTTTGTATATTAGATTTTATGCTTAATTATAATATATTAGCTGGCGATACGAGTAGTACAAACGAACAGACTGTTGTAGTTCAAAGGATAGGTATTGTTGATGCGCATCTAGGAATCTGTAATGGAATTTAAAAAGTATAATAAATAACGTGGCGGTTATATTGAAAGTCAGATAATGTAATGGTTATTGTAAGGCTAGCATATTAGTCATTTCAATCTTCTGAATCCTCTTTATTTTTGTTGCCATTGGTATTTTAATATTTGATACATACGTTGCAATTATATCTTGGTAAATGTCCATTTTTCCAAAGCTATATAAACATGGTGGAATATAAAGAATAATTCTCTGAATAAGCTTTCTAAAATTTCTTGCTAAATTATAATAAAATATAATCGCGTTTACAGTCGTAATCTATTGTACTTTTGAATACTGACTGGTATTCACTGTAAAAATCTATAAAATAATTCTCTTCTAAAACAATTCCTTTTGTTGTTTACCCGTTTAAAAGTTCTGTCGTAAAATTACCAACTTCTATTGTTATGAACTTCAAATGTTTGTGTGCAGTTTAGCCATTCGGGGTGGCAACCACGGCGCATTCGATACACTGTTGCCGCACGAAGCGGCAACGTCGCACTACCCCGTCAGAGAGTTTTGGTTGCATCCGTAGAAATAATATACCGCGGTATTATTCGAACTGGTATTTATGTTAATAACATTTAAATTGCAAACACACATTTGAGAACGACTTTGAAACTAGGGATTTTTTCTTCAATTACTTACCAATTCATTTACGGTCTTCCAATAAAATAAGAAACCACTGAACGGACCTTGTGCTTAATTTTTATATTATTAACACCGTCTTAAGTCTCTAGAATGCAAGTCAACAGCTTGCATACCGTACAGGTGCACCGCAGTACATTTTAGCTGAAATTGTAATTGGGTGCTAATATTATATTTAATCGGTACTATGTTCATCCTAGTTTTGTTTCTCTTATGTCATATCATTTTTTTATTTCGAATCGTAAATACGTTTTATAATAGAAAATATGGATCTTACATATGACATGTTTACATAATTAATTTTGTTTTAATAATAATGTTCATTACAAAATTTTCACAGTGACTTGTAAAAACTTACCTAATTAATTCTCTTATATACCTATGGTGCATAAATGTTCTATCAGACCTAATAATATTTCGATAAACTATAATTAATTTTGTAGTTATCAATATATTGTTATTAGTTTAGAAATATCTATACATAATTTGTGGTACTATGTTCAGACTACTTACTGTTTACTGTTCTAAACTTTCTTCGTAGCAACATATTAGCGCCCGATCATATATATTTTTTTTGTATAACGGCAACAGTACTCGTCACTATTACTATGAATATAAAATAATATAATATTTTACAATAATTACATTTTGAAGAGTAACAGGAATGAAGTACCTGATTTTAAATCGAACGAATGTGTTACATTGTTGCTACGAAATACACTATCTGAAATGTAACCGGTAACAGATGCAATGCTTCCATCAATGGAACGAAGTTGTAATTTTTCAGTGACCAGAGTTATCCTCTTATAAAGGTGCAAAATAAGAAAACAAACGCGTGAAGGTGAACAACGGGTACAGTTTGCTACATTACTAAATTTATCTGTCTTAATAAACGTAGTAGTAACGAAAACCTACTTATGTATTAGAATGTTGTGTATTACATATCAACTTGCTTAAAAACTTAAATATTTTCCATGTTACGTCATTTTGCTATGAAAGCTCTGCTTCTTCAGATATTTTAATTATACTTAACACCTATCTTCTTAATTATTAGCACTCTAGTTCTAAAAATTTAAAAGCGTTATCTTAATGTGAGAATGTTGTGAAATTGAGATGTAACCCTATTAATATGTTCGTTTCAAAATAATGATGTTATGAAAATTGTTCTGTGTAGTCAATTTGTAACTTTTAACATTATTTACTTTGATCTAGTTCTGATAATGTTTTAGATTAAAGTTATATCTATTTATTAAATCTTTCTTCTCCCCATTCGTGTTTCATTTAATTCATTATTTAAGTAGATTTCTTCAAGGGAAGGAATTGTTAACAAACTTTTAAATTCGCTTAATTTAACAGAGATAGTGACGTCATTTAATCCCTACTTCTAATTTTGTTACATATTATTTCAACTTGAAAAAAATTATTACTTTTAAACCTTAAAAATTTTGTACTGACTCCTTTGTGGAAACTAATTAAATTAAAGTTTTTAGTACCTGTCGCTCTTGAGTGCTAAAAGAATAACTGATTAATAATAAACTATTGCGATAGGTGAAAATACGGTAACAACAGAAATCTCAGCCGTCGATTCCAGTGTGATAGTTGAATTTTATTATAAGTGTAGGAAAAAGCTTTCACATTTGTGTGAACATCTTTACAAATTTCATTTATAAATTAAAAATTCAACAGCATAAATGTAACTGATATAAATTTATTTTTATATAGATAAATGATGTGCACATGTTACTTACGTACACGTTGGGTTTTGCTGAAACATAAAGCAACATCATACGATGAACAAAAATTGTAAGTTAATATGGTCAAAATAGTCACATTAAATAAATTAAAGCAATGTAAGCTACTATAAGCTTGTTTAGTTAAATCATCCGACCTAAAATCCTTGCTAAATTGATTTGAGCTTGTACGTGCTCCTTGTTTTAGAAGAGCACCTACGTTCCAAATTGCGTATTTAAATAAGTCTATATACACATATGAGGTTATAGAGGTTGGCAGAATTAGTTCTCTCTGTATGGTGTATACTATGTGTAAGGTGGGTCCGAGGAGGCTAGCGTGGGGACGGGTGGGCCCTCCTTAGCGGGTGGTGTTCGCGCCTAAGGGGCTTCGTCCAGAGAAAGTAAAATATCCTGGTATGGGGAGGCTAGTATTGTCAAGCGAATGTATAAGTATAGCTTTAAACTACATATATATCGGTCCCTATACTACACGCTTTGGAGTGCTTATTTACATATGTGCGTATATAAACTTATCTATTATGCAGACATAGGAAATGGAACAGGTTGGGAAAGGGACGCTGGGAAATTTGCTTATGTATTGGACGTTGAAACGTTCTAGTTAGCGATATCGATTTAAGTATTCCATACGTAACTCTTGCCTTTCATGTACGTTTCTAGTAGGGTTCAGAAAAAGTATAATAGTTACTTACTTACCTATGCGATTTATTTATTTAATTGACATGATTTAAATTAGATTAATTATCAAAAGTGAATGTTAATATAGTATGGTATGGTATGGTATGAGAATTAAATGTTACTTAATTGACTAAAAAATACCTTAAATTTTTGACCTCTACCTAAACACATTGTTATAAAAGGAAAATCGTCCATATTTTTTAATTTTAGAACTCGAAACTAAAGTTGAGTACATTGTTTTCAAGTCACAAGGAAAAGTTTATTTTGTTCGTAACTTGCGTTTCGGATGTTAATGTGACAAATTTTTAGATATTAGAATAATAGAAAAATCAGGATAAGAAAAACTTCCAGTAACTAACTTACACTCATCTTAGACAACATTTACCACTTGTGCAAGGAGTCACCTTAGCTAAACCAGTGTATGTATATAACTTATATAAACCTGTCATAATCATTTTATTATCACATTACAGTCGTATTAAAAATAGTTTTAACCTATGGATAATCCTACTCCTACTAATATTATAATTGCGAAAGTTTGTTACTTCTTCACGCTCAAACGGCTGAACCGATTTTTATAAAATTTTGTATATAGGAAGCTGACGTCCAGAAATAACACATAGGCTACTTTACATCCCGGTAATCCGCGGGTAACACCGCGGGGAGCAGCTAGTATATCATAAAAGCGTTGTTGTATTACTACAATGATAATATTTATCAAAAAATTACTGCTGATACAACAGCCAAATTTTTATAAGTTTGTCTGAATCTATGTACAGTCAAATCTCTGAAACTACAGTACAATCTGTATTTCCATACATATAATTACTTCAGTGCGACATTTGCGTCAATGGAGTTACTTGTTAGTATAAAAGTGCAGGCTTTCAAAAATATTGTTTAATTAATGCATATGGCGTACGTCTCCTCAGGTGAATGAATATAAATATAAAGAATAATATAACGTAAAGCATTGAGTAATGTGAAACCAATCTATGCTTTTTTTCTAATAATATGTCTATATTTCTTGATATTAATATTTGTTTAATACTTATATTGCCAACCAGATAATTAAGATGGAGAATTGAATTAATCAACCTTGAGTGATATGTTAATATCATCGCAATGGTCATACTTAGATCCTTTTAGAGGTCTGAGAGTACCATAGATCAACCAAACGATACAGTCAATACAAGCGACACAACGATGCTATGAAGTCGCACTAGCCTACATCGAAATCGGGAATGAAAAATATATATTAAGCCGAGCGAAAAGTCCACTATACACCCCGGGGGTGGCGGGCCCGGACGTGCGTTCGATTCAAACGAGCCGTAGCCTCCTATCACGAGGGTTTCGTTCAATTCCGACATCCGAGATCACAACACAATGCATGTCGATGAGGAATCATTCGAGACTATCTGACTAAAATTTCATTAGGTCTTTAAAAGGATACAATTCTATATCACCCCCTGAAAGTTTCTAACTTTTTAAGTTAACTTTCGACCTCGTTCCAAAGATGTAATTTCAGATTTTCCTGTAGCTCAGAGAAAAATAAATATGCTTAAACCCGACCTTCTGAGAAAAATTAAAAATTGAGAAAATATTTGTTTTACAGTAATGTAAACATTTCTAATTACGACTTGTTTAAATTATTTTTTTCTCTGCTTTACTCGGAGCGGAGCTCTAATTAACATCTATTACAGGTATTTCAGGAACAGAGGATTATCATTTGGCGACGGCGTTGAGTACACTCAATTAAACGAGGCCCGTCTGGTTCACCGCGGGCAAAGTAAAATTTTTATATAGATGTACATTTTCTTTAGATAATTGATTAAAAAGTATGTTCTTATTTCTTTATACGTCATGTAATTGTAATAAAACTTGCTTTTTTACATCAGAACATTTATTTTAAACAACCGATGACTTCATTTAATTATTATTTCGATCAGTGCTGAGTACTTGTGCTGGTCGCTGGCAGGCCGCAGAAGGTACGTAGTTCGCACGGGTCCGCTAGGCCTGCGCGGTCACCCGTTCAAAACGGCTCGCCCGCCTCCCTAACTCCTCTGCCACCCTCTTTAAAAGCCAGTGGCGAGCTTCAAGAGAAAGTGCCGCGTGTGTACACTCACATGCATACAACCATCTTTGGCAGAGCCGGCACGAGGCTGTCGGGGGAAACTCGGATTATATGGAGAAGACTCCCGCCGCCCCATGCGTGTGTAGGCACAAAACCTCCCTACATACATTTGCATAGTGACATTGTACGGTAATAATGTATGTGACCACTCGGATAGCCGCCCAGTTGTGATATTTTTCAATACGTCGTTCTTATTTTGTATCTCAATAGTGACATTCTACAGAATACTACCACAAATTCTTTTTATTTACTAGAATTACTTATTAATAAATTTTCATGTTAGTTTCTAAATCAAACAGGCGATAAAATTATGAAGCGAAATAAATTTGAAGATAAAACACATATATTGAATGTTAGGTTTAAGTACACATAGTTTGTGTAGTGTTTATATGTTTATTATTATATATAATAATAATTAGTTCTTGAATCAATCAGATAAATTACATGATATACCTGTTATGAAAACATTACTTCGAAATTATAATATCAGGTCAATGGAGCTTTTAGGTGACCGAATTCGAATTTCGATTTACATCCATATATCTACACATAGCTGTGAGGATTTCTTGAAGTTTGGTCCATATATACGTACAAGGATGGGTCGGGGAGGTTCGGACGCGTGTGGTGTCTGTGTGTGCGTAAATGTCTCGGACATGCACGTTAGGCAGATTTCTCTAACGATTTTCCCGGAGTGTGAAATGTAAAATAAGGGGTTAGACGAGGCAAAGCTCCCAGCCACCCTTTTTCCAAATTGATGACCGTCCCCCCTCGGGGAGATTGGTTTAAATTTAACACATATCGTATTTAAAAGTAAACTCTACCAAGCTTTAGCTCTCTTATTAAATCCCTTTGTTTTTACAGTATTATTAATGGCAGCTATTGATATCATAAGCTTTGAGCAAAATAAATTAAAATGAGCAGAAAGCTAATTACATATAATTATTTATTTCCAAAAATTTTTCGTATAAATTTGTCCGGAGTGTACCTTTATCTTATCGTTTACACTAGTTTGGAATTAATTAGGGAAGTGAAGAGTTTTTAATACTCACTTACATGTATATGCAAATAATACTTCAACTTATATAATACGTGTTTGAATTGCTCAGTACATATTCATGCCAAAAAAGAAATATCCGATCCATATCGATTAGAAGAATCATGATCACAAGTATCGTATGGATCGAGTTTTAAACAGCACATAACGATTCCCAATAAATGTTAATAAAATTAATTGAAATAGTGAGAGTTTTTATAGAAAGGGTTGTTAAATTTGGTTGATATTTAATAGAAATTCTGTTTATATTGATATCGACGTCTTTATCGATAATAAAAAGTTGCAATTCAAAATCCCCCAGGTTTCCTTCATATGTTAGTCGAGTGTAATTTAGCGTTATCATCCAATTAGCTGGGAGTCAGGCTTTTTTCCAAATATATATAGTTTTTTGTTTAGAGATATTTATATGCATTAGTGTTTTTTATGTTTTTTATAAACTTTAATTAATCTGATAAACCTTTTATTCTAAGCCAATTATTTTCTAAAAAAAGACCATTTACAAAATTTTAAAGCGTTACTTTAAAGAAATATATTAATGGAAATTACGTACGACAAAGTAAGTTTCCTTTTTCCAAGCCTTCTATTATTGCGAGCTGAGTAGTAAATTTGCTTAATTTTATTTTGATAATACAACATCTACACAGCGACACAGAAAAGGAGATCATCGACTATAAACTCTATTTCAGTAGGTATCACGCTTTTTAAAGCTTCATAAATACCATACACAATAATAAAGAAATGTTGAAAACACAGAAAAACGGATTAAATTTATCGGGCTCTTCAACTTTCAACATGATTAGATACAATTTTTATGAAAGTATGTGTTTAGTCATTTCAGGTTTTAATGCTTATGGACGGCGATGACCACTAATCATCAGGCGGCTAGCCTGCTCATTTACACACTATCATATAAAATAATACATATTAAATACACATGTAACATGGAATAATTATAATGACAATAATTATATTGCCTACAATATTATTTAGTTTAAAAAGGACTTACATAGTTGAATTTTTAAAGACTTAGTAAAACCCTATAAAGTATACATGAATAACAAAAATAATGTGCATTTCTTTCATCCGAAACTACATATATGTACATTGTACATATCACAAGATATTCAATGTCTCAAATAGTGCATTGAATATTCGAAACAACATTGTGTTATACCATGACAGTGGTTGTAGCTCGTAGCTTCAAACCGGTTCTGCGCCACCCCCGTAACTGTAAAACGTTTTTTAGTTGTCTTGCATTCCATAGCATCCTGCACCCCATCCCTTTAAGTGGATCTTTATTTTGTAATATAGTTTTTAGAATAGTATTCATCCGGCATAAAATATAAAGTTATTTTTATAGTAAGAAATAATATGATCATTTATTATTAAATTAAGTAGTAGTAGTATTACGTAAAATATAACACAAAACCAGTGCTCCAGCCATTTTTAAATAATTTTTGCGTCTAAGCTAAAGCTTAAGCGGGTAAACCCAGAGCTTATATTTAGAACAAAAAATAAATAGTTGACTTGCGTTGATGTTGAAAATCTTATGATAAAGAACACTTATATATCAAGTACATATCTAATATAATTTAAATATATATATATTGAGGGATATTATACAAATCTTCATGAATAGAAATGTATTTTTATAAATAAACTGTTAATCTTCCACTGAGAAATAACCATTATTTTAGAAGACAAAACTTATTTAATTATAAAATATATGCAAACAATAATAATAACTAATTGAAGAGAATTAAAATGTTGCTGTATAAACTTATTTAAAGATATGCTGTATTTTTAAATAGCAATCGATAGCAATAATTATACCTATAATTACGTAGCCATGTTATTTATCTTTAAAATTGCAGACGCTTCCTTCTTTGTAATAATTCGGGCGGCGGGTGACCGAGCTAAGATTTTTTAATAGATAATTTCAAACTAGCATAGATGTGTCTGTGTGAGAAGCATTTCCGAGAAATCGTTCATAGGGGTGCAAGTTTTCTAAGTGTGAGTGATCATAACAACACCTGCTAATACACTTGTGTGTGTGATGTAGGAGGCAGTGCGATGTTGCTAGATGCATTTTTTTCAATGCACTACGGTGAAATTGACAACGTCGCGCAATTTAGTTGCTCGAACCGATGCTGCATTTTTTCACATATAACCAAAGTTATTCCTATATTTAGTCGAAATTTTAATATTTTGGAATGTTTGAAACCATGTCTTTTCATGAAACAACTGTGTATAATTTTTATGTTGCAAAATTGTTTACATCATTCTACATATATAGGTATAAAAATATTAATATGAATTGAAATTTTAATTTTTATTGTCTTTATTATTGTTAAGATAATATCAATACATTTATTTTTACTAAAAAGTAGGTAAGTCATTAAATTTTGAACAATTTTATTTACTGTACAACAAATTTTTATATTCGTCATTTAACAGAGGACCATAACATGCTCCCTATTAAAGTTATTTTACTATATTTCAATAAAAAAATCACTCTGACTTTTATCATTTATCTACCAGATTCGTGTTAAATCTACAGTACATATTTCTTTTGTTGAAAGCAATCACAATTAAATAAACTAAATGTCATGTATAAAATGCAAATATAATAAATTATTTTTTAACATATACCAATAGAAGTAAAACAATTAGAGTATCATAAAAAAGAGCACCGAAAAAAACTAAAGTAAATATTACCTAATGAATAGATCAGTCAGACCTTCAGGAAGTATCAACGACATATTTTCTTCATTGTTACAATTTAAAAAGGGAAGTGGTATCTTTAATAAATTCCGACATATTCAGAGCTATATTATTTTTATCGCTCATATCTATGCAGAGTGAGTCAATAATAAAGATTTGTAATCACAATATAATAACTCGTCTGGTCAATTCGAGTTATAAACTGCGAGCGTTCGTAGAATTTGTACCATCAATGTGACCTCAGCTAAAGTCAAATCGGAGACTGAATTTAATTAGTCCAAAGCGGTCCGTGATTTTTTTTCTTTCGATACCGTATAAGTATCTGCATACGGATTAGTGATTTTAATACGATCCATATAATGCCGATGACATTATTTATTCATCATGACATGTTAAAATATAATACAGAAGTTTAAACATTCATAACTTTAGTTTATAATATTTTTTCTTAACATGTCAATAGAATTACGTGGATTTGTATTTGATATAGTTCACATTTTTTGCTTCATAATTTAAATTATGTACTAAAAATGTTGTAACGATCTCAAGTGACCAGTGTTCATTTATTTTGCTATAAAAATAGTTGAATACTTATAAGTTTAATTAATTTCGTTACTACCCTCAAGTATTGTTATGAGACACAAAATAAAGAGATGCAATGTATCAGATAAGTGAATACACGTTGTGTTTGTTGCATATATAAAAGTGTTTACTATTGTTTTGTTGTATTATCTCTTACATGGTTTAGTTTCTGAAAGATTGTAAAATGATACGTATTAATGTTTTTTGTAATCATTGATTGATAATAAAATAGATATATACAACATTTATAGAAACCTAGTGGTTATCGATTTTAAATAATTTTTAATTATAAACATTACTATCAGCACATATACCTTATTCATTTGTGTGACGATTATTTAACAAATTCTTAAAACAAATATGTAATAATTTGGTATAATATTCATAGGTGATTATATCTCATTTTATGTACTTTATACTTTATTTAGCGAAACATAGAAAACAGTCTATTAGGGATTTTCAACAATAATTTTAAATCTAATAAACCCCTGTACAAGGTAATGTAGTTAATAAAATAAATTTGTTTAGAGTCAAGTTTTTCGTTGAAATATACATAGCAGAACAATTACAAAAGATATTTTACAGAACCAAAAGTAATAAAACTAAAAAAATAAGCCAAGCTTTTTAGTTTCCGCCATTGTTACCAATGTACACGTTGTTATCTGACAATGAAAGGTTATACCGCCAAATGCAGACCACGTGAACGACTTAGAACAATTGTCTCTTATCAAGCAACACTTTTGTTACTCTAATCCCTACCCAGATAAGCCTTGTAGAAAACCTATTATGAACATATACATATTACAACTTATTATTACCATGAGCTCATTCATAACTAACTGGTGCTATATTTTTCTTAGAATTTTAATGAGGACTTATTATTTACATCTTTTAATGTTTTTGTAAATTTTGTTTATGCTTCTTTACCAGATAGTTTTAGGTTTTATGTGTGTATTTTTTTCAGATTTAAATTACTCAAAAATATTATTCACCAGCAAAAGTATGACACTTTTGTAGCTTCGATGAGAGGGAAGTTATTGATGCTAACTTTGTATTGTCCGTGTGTTTATTGCTTGTTCTCGTAAAACGTTATGAATGATACAGTTCATGAGATCAAACATTAGTAACTTTCGAAGGTTTAAGTATTAATATTCGATACTAGAGATAAAACTGCTGCTACTTTAATATTTCTATAAGAGACAGAATCACAAAGTTTTCTTTTTTATTATCATATTTAATATAAATACTTGTATGTTTTGTTAAAGTACAATGTTTGAAAAATATTTAATCACCATTATAATTTACATATTTATTTCGTTAAGCTGTCACAGATGTTTTGCAAATAAGAATAAAAAGAATAATTATTTGTTAATAGTCATCACCGTTACACCTAAAGTAGTGTAAATGTAAAGTTTTCTTTTATTAAAATGTTTATAGGAGCTGTAAAATGTTGAAATTCTATAAAGATGTAGGTATAGTATGTATAATGGGCAAGAAGAGTCCGAGTGTAGAACGGTAGGGGAGGATGTGAAGCGATCGGCATAGTCCGAGAAAATCGATTTCGACACCCCTCATAGTTTGCATGGCCGTGACCAGCGCCTATGTCAAATATATTAAAACATTTTATATCTGAAATTTATAAAATTTATACTTTGATTGACATTTTTAAAATAAAACGTTTTAAATACTTAAGATAAGAGGGCTACATATTCATTTTTCGTACACCCTCCACCCCGCTATGCAAAATTTTTTTGGCCATGCGCGCTTGCTTATTTAAATTATACCAATATTTTCTTCAGATATTTTAAAGTATTCATTTAAGATTTTAATGAATGTAATATATGTTAATTATTTACATTTTTTATTGAGTCAAACCTATAAAAGCATGAAATTTATTCTATTAAATTAATGTTTCTTTATTCGTCATACGTTGTTTTATATTCGTTATGTTTCGTTTTGCACAGTTTGTTTAGAAAAAGAAATATTGTTAATGTTAAATTTATTTTATAATTTCGGTCATTGACTTATTTAAGGTTTTAAGACTCACACGTCAAGTTGTATTTATGTACTTCTGACTTGAGTTTTTTTATTAATTAATTATTATTCATGAAGTTATAATGTATGAGCAAACAAATAATATATTATATTAATCAATGACTACTACCACTAAAATTTTGACTATAACTTAAGAGTTCCAGAGTTAATGAAATGCTTCTTTTATTATAAAGTGAGATTTGAAATTTAGAAAATTTAGTCGCAGAGCCCGATCGTCCCGCATTGTAAGGGTGGGTGGTATCGCTGTCCCACTCGGACACAGGACGCAGCATCACCGGACATTTCGACCGGGCATTTCAATTTTGAGAAAGCGTAGGACCGGGCCCTTCCCGCACTCCCTCCACCTCTCTTTGACCCCGTCTTGCTTCCACTCAGGACATACAAAAGGACGAAGGAGCGATAACTTCATCACCGCGTGCCGCTCTCGCTCGCACTTACGCCACGGTGGGGGACGACGTTGCGAATTGTTATTGAAGTCATGCCCCCGAAGGCGACTTCGGGAAGGCTGTCAGTTGCTAGTAAACGTTCACAGCGTCCGTACCAGGCGGCTGACCCGCGCCGCGTCCGTCTCGCATCGTTATAAACTACATACAATAACGTATCCAAATTGTTTTTATATACAAGTGCCAAATAGACGTCTTTATATTTAGCATCTGTGATTTTAGGTGAATATAGACAATGTTTAAACAAACTTAAAGTTATGTGGTAATCCATTATTATGGACATAAATATATACACTTTTTTATATTGCTAGTTAATGTGAACAAAAGTGAGACGTATTCGAAGAACGTGTGTGCACTCGGACGCCGTATAGAAGTTTGTTTTGTCATTACGGAAGTGTTTACAAGGCGCACGTGGCCGCGCCGCCCGCCCGCGCGGCTATGCCGCGAAAAACTTTCTTCAGAAGCACTGCCCTAGAATAAGTTGACTCACATGGGAGATACGCGACCTCGACCATGAATCTATTATATAGTGTTTGATTTATGCACCATCGACTACATGTTTGTCGCAAAGAGAAGATTGGTATTTTTATTTTTTTTTCGTTGGAGGAGACGGTGTTCTCCTTTCAATTGATGAGTTAGATGGCTAACAACAACGCTGTTTCGTCGACTTTGCCGTCGAGAGATTATTATTGCAAAGTCTGCGACCTATATTTGGATACTGTTGATTCATTAGAAGTGCATTTACAATATCACAAAGAGAACTTGTACGTGAAGTGGGGCACTCAGAACTCTCAAAATGATACCGAAAACAATAATAGCGCTAAAGTGAAAAACGAAACAACAGTATCAGCTCCGGCGGACTCGAGTGACAGTATGATTACCAAACCAAGTCCAGAGTTTCAACAGCGCGCGACGCCCGAAACAACAGTGCAATTTCCGCACCCTGCTACACCACAGAGCTATCACAGCGCACCATCACCTTACCAAAATCCAGATCAAACAAACTTTTCACCGGGAGCCCAATTTGGTAATAATTTTACTCATTCTAATTTTTCACAAAATCAACACACTGAGCAAATAAATTGGGAACAGTCGCAATATAATCAAGAATATCATAAGCCGAATCGTTTCCATCCATATAATATGCAAGATCGTGTATCACAAGTCTCATCTTCGAGCCCCTTGTATGGTCAGCCGTTAAATCAACCAACGCCATCACCTTCGCCGAATCAATGCGACAAGTGTGGCTACGTTTGTGATTCCGCTGTACAGTTAAATGAGCACTGCAATTCGGCTCACGCAGGCACGAGCGCTGTACCTGCTACAGGGAACATTCCATTTCAACAATTCCCTAGTAAATCATATAACAATTCGAGCTATCAAAATGATAGTATAAAAGTAAAAGAAGAACATGAAGAATCGTCGGATATTCTAGACTTAGATTCCCAAAAGGTGGTTTACCAGGGAAATGAAGGAGAGCAACAAAATCCACCCTACGAAGAAACATCATCTCAGGTACGCGAAGTAAACACGAGAACTGTACCTATGATGCCATGGGAAACTCAAAAGATTTATACTAATCCCCAAATGAATGGCGATGTATCTCTTTTTAAAGAACAAAAAATGTTTGCTGATCAAAAGGCATATGCAACTGAAGGAAAAATGTTTCATCCAGATCAAAAATTTGCTTATTCACAAGATAAATTTTTAGTGCATCATGAACAAAAACCTTTTATGCACGTGGAGCAAAAAATTTACCCTGGTGTTCAAATGCAACCTTTAACAGATTACTCAGGGAATGTGGCTTCAACCAACTCAGATATGAAACCACCATACCGACCTTATGATTCCCCTAATGCACCGCAAATAACAAGCACACAACCTGCAAATCCTACATCGTCATCGTTGCCATCTATTGGGGGTAAAGGAGCCAATTGGAAGTCGAATGAAGCAAGAAGACCGAAGACCTATAACTGTACTGCATGTAATAAGTGGTTTACTAGCTCAGGCCACTTAAAAAGGCACTACAATACTACGCTGCATAAAAACGCAGTACGATCGTCTGGGCAACCTGATCCAGCAACGATGCCCATTTCGAGCCATCATCATCCAAGTCGTGATTCTTTGCAAAATCGAGCTCAACAACAGAATCCGGATTCGAATACGCAAAGTCCTGTCCCCTCCGAAGACAGCAGGAACGTGGATGAAGGTGCTCTGCAGTCACCGTATGCACCGCAAAACTTTGAACGCGTTCACCGTGTTGCAACTATGCAGTCCAAATCACCATACACGCATCTTCAACAGGGTAATTTAGATAATAATTTCAGTAATATTCCTCTAACTAATCATCCCTTACAGCATCAAGTGGGTTCACACCCGATTAATATAAATATAAGTAGCCAACCACCGGGGATCGGACTTCCAAACGATAGTCCTCAAGGTCCAAAAAGTACTTCAATATCAACTGGTGCGAATCCCCCAAACGGGGAAGCAGGTCCCTCTGTTTCTCAAAATCACCATATGAGGGGCCTGCTATCAGTGTCAACCAGCAATATTTCAACACCAGTACTAACCCAGAGTACACCAGCGCTTACGGCTCACACTCTACCGCCGTTCAGCCATTTGGGTGTCAACCCGTACAGTCCGAGGTCTACGGATCCTTTGGGGCCTTCGGTACCGGACCCCACGCACACCCCATTATATTTGGGTCAGAATTTTCAGCAGACTATAGCACCGAGTTACCCAAACGGGATGGCCCCCCACGTTATGGATATGGCTATCAACAATCTGCCTATAGCCAATCCGGCTACTTTTGGTGAAGCTGCACCAGAAGAGGTCGATGTTATGGAACAAGAAACGTCTAGTCAGCCTGCTAATGGACGCTTGCCGAGTTTCTCGCAGCTACAAATGCAGAGCTTCAGCGTTTATGTTTCAAACTATATTACATCACCTAACGTGGGGGGTCAAGTTGTTGCCGACGATTCTACCGCCGGTTACATTATTGTAGATCCAGTTAACTCTCCTATACAATACAATGGCATGGACATAAATGGACAAAGTATAGATTATGACTATAATTATTCACCTAAATCTAACCCAATGAAGGAAAACGTAGTAAGCTACAATACGGATACAATAAAGGTTTACCCGTATGGCTACGCGGTTGGAGGTAAAACTATAAAAAGGGAAGATGACGTGTTAAGAACGGATTCTAGTGAGCTACAAATATTAAAAATCGAAGATATAATGGATTATGCTAATAAAGAAAATTATGGAACGCAAATGAAGTCTCCAGCTAGTCCAGAGAGTGCTAAAGCAGAGAACGAAAGTCACGGGTCCCCTTCAATATCATCAACAGTTTCGAGTACACCACTCACCGAGAGAAATCATTTAAAAAAGTCAACACCAACAACGGTACACAAATGTTTTGAATGCGACAAATTATTCAACAAGGCATGTTATCTTACTCAGCATAATAAAACTTTCCATTCTGGAGCTAAACCATTTAAATGTGATAGATGTGGTAAACGCTTTTCGGACGATGTTTCGTATGAGGGTCATTACTTAAAACACGCAGACAATAAACCCTTCAAATGTAATGAATGTCCAAAGTCGTTTAATCACAAAACCGACTTGCGTCGTCACATGTGTTTACACTCTGGGTGCAAGCCGTTTGCATGCGATCATTGCGGTAAAGGATTCATAAGAAAAGATCACATGGTAAAGCATTTCGACACCCACATAAAGAAAAATTTGCGTTCATCATCGTCATCTGTATCGCCGACATCATCCTCCCCATCTACATAAATAAATATACAATAAGCCATTGTTTTGAAAAAGTTTGATACACATATCATGTCCAAAAATAATTGGATTTTGATATGATAAATTTATTCCAAAATATTTATATAGTTAATTAATAACGTTAAATGAAACGTTTTGTTATTAATGTGTTACGTTTTTTAAGCAAAGCGGCAGAACAACTCCGACGCATGCATTTAGGCCACCAGCTATGTTTTTTGTTGTTCATTCAATCTAACCTTGTGTTCGATGCAAGGTGACTTTACTTGTCTGGCTGTCTGGGCGCTAAACATGTAATTACATGACGTCGGAGTGATATTCCGTAATAATTTATAGACCGATCCATATCATTTTTACATATGAATTACTATTATATCGTAGAATTAGTTAGATAAAAATACCCGGTGATTTATTACATTAGGTGATTAATAATGGTTGTCATTTTCGACGTTGATTCAGAACATATCTTTTGTCTGTAAATTTTTGATCTTTAGAAAGTTTTAGTTGAAAAATTGCTTGGTTTAAAATTATTGTTATTGTTTGGTAAAGAAGCGCGTGTAACTCTATAAATTTATATCTTTACCTATAATTTTCTGTAAATATTTTACTTTGGGACTAAAGAGCCAGATATAACATAATTATGATTTTAAAAAGAATTAGTTTTTACAAATGTTGATCAAAGTTTTGTGTTAAGGATTTTAATACTACAGTAGGCTGGCACACTTCTCAAGCGAGTTAGAGGTATCGTAACGGATCAAAAGTTTAACGCAATTTTATTATAGTAATACCTAAATCTAATTAAATCTTAAGAGGTTTGCTACGTAAGATCGTCAAGAAGAGGGATATAGTGATTTTGGTGGTCGTATCTTTGTAGATGTGACGTGCACTTTGTTTTGAAAGTTGGTCACGACGAAAGGAGAATTTGTACTCCAGAGAATGTGTTATAACTATCGTTTTTGTTTTAGGTGTAAATTCTTCTATTAGTTACTTATATTTTTAATATTTTACCGGTGCTTCCTATTTTATTATTTTGTCTGTTGATCTGTTTTAATATTTAGGTAGTTGACTAAATTCATTTTTTTCCTTAAATTTAAACTTATTTATGTCCAATCTTAGTTACCAATATATTATTTGAACGAATTTAGTTTAAACATTCCTGTTTCGTTAGTGGTAGGAAAGTAGTCTTCCTGAACGTTGCCAAATTATCACCGCCAACTGTCTGTTGCGAAACAATTTAATTTTAAATTAGCCTAATAAAGAAATTCTCTAGCAATAATTTAAATACTAATGTAAATGTCTTGTATAATACTAAATTAAATATCATGTTTATTAATTTACTGATTACTTAGGTACAGAAAAAATTATAAGGGAGACATTGAATACTTGTATATACATATTTGATGGATTATTTACTTTATCTATAACAATTAATAGCACGGCCCTATTTGTATTTCAAAATCTTCTTTTTGTTGCTCATATACAATAAAGTGTTGAACATATGAATTAACTAAATCTGATTCTCAGTTTAGAAGAGGCAGTAACAAATTGAATATTTTGATGTCCACATCTGTTGCATGTATTTTAACCGAAAAGAAATACGTTCGAAATATATGTGCAATATGAAACACTGTAATGAATTAATTTTGATAATGTTTATATTTGACTGTTGATTATTGTGCAGAAATATTTTTATACAAATAGAATTACATTTTGCCTATCTACCTCATCAGTTACTAAATCTTATGAATTACAATATGTCGAAGTTGTATTAAAAGAATCGGAATATAGTAATGAAATTGTATGTGCAAAAAGTGGTTTATGGAAATGAATTGCATTTATGCAGTACATTGATATCAGTGTTATACATGATTCTGTATACAAATGTTAATAGCAAGCCAGCATTCGGTTTCCAAATATAACAATTATATAATAAATAATATATTTAAGATAGTAAATATATTTATGAAGCATATCAGGAATTAAAGTTTCGAAGAAATGTTTAACAACTAACATGATATAATTTTGGATACGAATGCTCGCTGACTTTAATAAATGAATTTTACATATAAACATCGATTACTCTAAAAACAGATAATACTAGATATATGTATAAATTTTTCTAAACTGTTGAGAATTTTTTGTATAACAGAAATATTTTCATCGTAGCAATAATGTAATAATAGTGACACTTGAAACTAAACTACCTCATGTAACGAGTAATAGGGTTAGATCGCGTTGTGAGAGCGAGGTCGCGCTGCTCGGCGATCGTCAACAGAATACCTCATCTTGCCTTCACTTGTACTAGAGACATTTTATTTACCAGAACTAGCCCCGCAGCCCGACCGACGCTCGTCTTCAAATATATTTTAGTAGACATATTTGTCTCTCTTGTACTGTTTAATAAAGCATTAGTAGTATCTTTTAGATTTAAATTATGTAAATATCGAACGATAAATTTGTTATTTATCATATTCTATTATTGTAATCGTCGATACACTTATTTTGAAATAAGTTCGTAGTGATTTCAAGTTTATATAGTAGCTAATAAGATATATATAATGTAAGTTTCAGTGATTTATGTTTGTGTATATTAATTTAATTGTCAGTTACCAGATGATTTCTGTTACATTCGGTTGAGTAAAATTTGAATGGATTAATACGATAAGACGTTGTTTTTCTTCAATAATTATTCCCTCGAACTTTGGACGGGTTTGTAGCAGAAATGTTAACAGCATGCGTTAAAATATATTTTTTAATTACTTTTGTTTATTATAAGCGTAGTGCGAATTAAACTGTTGCTAGTCAATGTCCTGGAGATGCCACGAGTCACGACTGAATGTTCTCGAAGTCATCTACACATCGATTTATCAGATATTGTTGGAGTCGGTATGGTTTTCTCTTGGGCATTGTCTAGAATCATTAGATTTAAGCCTTGATAATAGTTTATTCTAGTACTAGGTGACAGATCTGTCACACCGCCACGGCGAATGGTATTTATAGCTATGCGTACATCCATTTATATATAGATATACATACATGAAGTCTGGCTTGATGTAGTATATAACAATTTATATATACATGGATCAACTCTTGTTATACAAACGTTAAATAGCAGAGCGATTTATTTATACCTTGGAATTTTGCAGACACATGGTTCATTATGTTTCAAAATTTCTGTTCTATCATATTGAATGTAAAATGATTAGACCGTTGTTTCTAATCAGTATACAAAATCGTTATATACTATAAGATTCCGATGCCACACTGCTAATGTAGCAGGTCGTCTGTCAGATCTGTCAGTAAATATAAATTAATTGTGAACAAACATTGTTGTTTCATTTAACTCTCCTTGCTCCTAGCTGCTATTTGCGAATTTCGCTTTGTTAATATAATATAACAAAATTATTAAAAGAACAAATTTTATATACCACATATAAACTATATTTAACCATGGTGAAGACTTAATCCAACACATGAGTAACAATTATATCCAACTCGAACAATAATATGCTATTCGTATGATTTTATAATAAACTATATCGACGTATGAACGCGCTGGTGACGAGAACAACAACGAAATCAAAATTGACGTAAGTATGTGGGATGGTAAATAAAAGAAATGCAATTGTATAAAAAAAAATATTTTAACTGATATATGAAATAAAATCCTGAACAAGATATTCATCAACTTTTTGTGAGAAAAATTTTCAATGAGTCATATTAACACATAATGAACTACGAGGGTATGATTATCGTAACAAGACTAGCTTGATAGTACCGACATCATTAAAAATATAAAGACCTTAACAAATCTTAATATTATTTTATAACGTTTCATATTTCATAAGCAAAAGACTTCAACGGGATCTCAAATATATACCATTTGGGAGAATGGTCTTCTTTTTATTGAATAGTATTGTAATATTAATGTTTTCATGTATTTAAAATTGAATATTCAATTGAGTATCGAATCTAATAACAAATATGTTATAAAAACAGTCAAATGAATACTATTAATCAAATATAATTTCAACATTGTTTTTAAGTAGAACGAAGTAAATAAAACAATAACAATTTCACACTAATTAGGAAAAACGTAAAAAGTTTGATAATTAAATACAGTGTGTACTGTGTAGGCTTTAGTCTAAATTCATTAATTAATCTTTTTTTTTTATAAACAAAGATATTATTTTTATTTGGCTTCAACGGTTCAAAAGGTTATCCTTTCTAAATAATGTTTACTTGATTTTATTTTAAATATACATATTTTTTTAATTAGATGAGCTATTTTTTCTGAGGAAATAATGACTATTTTAGTCGAAAAGCTAGCTACAAATATGTTCAAAATAAAATGGATCTTAACACTGTTATGAATAAGGTGCATATTATATAGCATCAGGCTATGAATCATCATCAAATATTTGATTTAAATTATAAAGCTGTGAGATTGAATTCATGAAATATATCAGTTAAAAGAAGTAAATAAAATTGTTTTTAAACCTTAAGCATAAAATAACTCATGGAAATTTATTAAATTGAAGGTAGTTACGTTAATTTGAAGAATTACCAACTACATAATATGTATCTTCATCTATGGATCAAAGTTGTTTCAACAAAATCTATCTTGGGAACAATTTCCTATAATATTATTCTTGATATCATTATAAATATGACAAATGCTGTTAATAATAAATAGTATAACTAAAATAGTATACGCTTTTGGGGAAATATTTTTGTTTGTGGACCTAAATATTTGAATATAATAAAAAAAATATTTATCTATTCTAGTTGCTTCATTTATTTCAATGACTCATATTATTTAAACTCTCAGTATATACATAATAGTTAAGTTTCCATCTTCTGGCATTAAATTGAAATTACAAATTTTAAATTAATTCCACCTGTATAATGGTTAACTTAAATACTGGTAATATTATTTTAATTATTATTATACTTTTTTAGGTCTTATGCTGCCAGAAGACTAAATTATTATTTAGAATTTTGAG